AAAAAAAAAAAAAAAATGCTTCTGTCTCCCTCCTCTGCTTGGACCCCAGGCCTCCACTCTCCTGGGAGTTTGGGGTCCATTCCCGGGCACTGTCCATGGTCCCACTTTGTGACACAAGCCCAGGTCCAGTATGCTTTAGAGCCATCAAAGCCTGTCATCTCCATGACTGGATATATGACATGGGCATGTTATTTAACTTCTCTCAGCCTCGGTTTCCTCCTCTGAAAAGTAAAGGTATTACAACTACTTTGGATGATTGTTGCAAATAAAAAAGAAAATAGTATTGTAACTGGGCCAGGAGAGGCTCGACAAACATTACTGGTTTTGCCCCTCTAGGCAGGGTAACATCTCCTGGGCCCATCCTGTTGAACTAGTGGGGCTGTCTGAGCTTGGGGAAGAGTCATTTAGGAAGTGAGAGGCTACTTCCTACAGAACTTCATAATCGGTTCCTTCTGCTGGTGCAGCTGGGTGGGCGCATGTGGTCCTCATCACGGCTTCTGGGTAGGGGGAGAGGCAGGGGTTGGGGTTGGGGGTAGTATGTTTGGGGAGTCTGAAAGGGTCTGGTGGTGTTGGGGGGCCCTGAGAACACAGATGTCTCAAAGGCTGGCCCAGCCTGTGCACCCCTTCCCTGGGTGGTTTGGGGACAGTTGGGGGGAGGTGTGGCTGGCCTCTGGGGAAGGCAGCCCAGATTCCACTGGTTGCCACACTTCCCTTTTCACAACTTTCTCAACCCTCCCCCCTCAACAGGCCTTGGCAGGTGTGACCAGAGCATCAGCCGGGAGGCATCTGCAGGGGGCTGGCTGGGGAAGTGCAACCCCGTTTATTCATCAAGGGGGACTCCCTCTCTGCTCCCCAGCCCAGTCCTCCCATGGCCCCTGAGGCCTCACCCACTCCCTGGAGGTGACCCATGGCCCTACAGACCAGACCCACAAAACCTGCAAATTTTCCTTTCACACACCTACATCTTTACACACTCACCCACAGAGACAGGCATTTGGCCACATTTTGGGTACCCGAACTGACACCTGTACTTGTGTCAGTATTCATGCTCATCACTGTCCACACGCTGGTGCACAAGTGAACACACATAGAGGAAGCTGAATCTTGGGCCCCACATCTTGCTTCCTGCCTGGACAAGGAGTTGTTGGCGAGGCTCAGGTGGTACCTGGCCCGGGTATGGGGGAGTGACTGGCCCCAGAATCAAGGGTTGCGTGGGCTTAAGCTAGTCTCCAAATGCCTCTTGGTATTTTGCAGGCAGACCATGTGGACCCTGGTGAGCTGGGTGGCCTTAGTGGCAGGACTGGTGGCGGGAACACAGTGCCCAGATGGTCAGTTCTGCCCTGTGGCCTGCTGCCTGGACCCAGGAGGAGCCAGCTTCAGCTGCTGCAGTCCCGTTCCGGTGAGTGTCCTGCAGCCCAGGCAGGACCTGGCAGCCTGGGACGTCCCGAAGGGGCATCTCAGCATGGCCAGAAGAGGGGACCAGGCTTGGGTCCTTCATTCTGTCATCTCCTCTCGCTTTCCAGGGCCAGTGGCCCACAGTGCTGAGCAGGCAGCTGGGCAGCCCCTGCCAGGTAGATGCCCACTGCTCTCCTGGCTACTCCTGCCTCCTCACCATCTCGGGGACCTCCAGCTGCTGCCCGTTCCCAGAGGTGAGGGTGCCTTTAGCTCAGTGGAGGGGCTCAGGTCTGCATTTTGATGTTCCCCCCACTCACCCCAGGTCAAAGGGCCGAGCCAATGCAGGTGTCTCTGTGTCCCACAGGCCGTGTCGTGCGCCGATGGCCGCCACTGCTGCCCGCGGGGCTATCACTGCAGGGCTGACGGGCGGTCCTGCTCCCAAAGATCAGGTGCGGCAGGAGCAGAGGTGGATGGCAGGCAGGTGGACAGCATGTGGAGGCTGGACGGCCCAGGAGCCCAGCCAGCTGGGTGACCTGATTCCTGCCCTTGTGCCCTCATTCTTGTGGCATCTGTACTAAGCAACCCCTTTGCTCCAGACAGAGGGACAGCATGAGGCTGGGAAGGGGCAGGAGAGAATGCTGGACTCCAGGCCCCGGGCCAGGCATTGGGAGGGTGGAGAGAGGCCAGGCCGGGGTGGTTTAAGTCCACTGTAGTCAGTGGACGCCCCTGCCTTGTGCCATATCGCTGAGGCAAGGACTGGCTGGTGGGGAGAGTGGGTTAGGAGTGTCTGGGAGAACGCCGAGCCCTAGTGCCGGAACCCCAGTGTCCCCGGGAGCTGGGCCTGCAGCTCCTTGAGTGATGGGAGCGATGGCCTTCACTGACCTGGGTTGGCCGAATCCTGGGTCCTCCTGTCCGCAGATACCAACCCCTTGGGTGCCATCCAGTGCCCTGACAGCCAGTTTGAATGCCCCAACTCCTCCACGTGCTGCACTATGCTAGATGGCTCCTGGGGGTGCTGCCCCATGCCCCAGGTACGGGTTCGGGAAGCTGGGGGTGGGGGGGAGCAGCCAGGGCAGAGCAAGGGGCGGGAGGGGGCAAAGACAGAGGTCGGGAGCATCTCTCGTCAGGCTTCTTGCTGCGAAGACAAGGTGCACTGCTGCCCCCATGGGACCTCCTGCGACCTGGCTCATGCCCGCTGCCTCACGGCCATGGGCACCCATCCCCTGGCGAAGAAGGTCCCTGCACGGAGGAGTAACGGGGCAGGTAAGGCGGTGGGAGAGCATCGGGGTGTGGTTTGGAAGGGAGGCGAGGCCTCGTCTGGCTCCCACCTGGGGGAAGAGTTCCTCAGGGCTGTGGCAGCCCCGCCTGCCTCTCTCCCCTTCCAGTGGTCCTATGCCCCGATGGGCAGTCCCAGTGCCCTGATGGTTCTACCTGCTGCGAGCTGCCTAGTGGGAAGTATGGCTGCTGCCCAATCCCTAATGTGAGTGAGGGGCTGTGTGCTCACAGCCGGGGCCCGCACACCTACCTCCCAAGGACTCCAGGGGGTGGGGCTGGCCGGCAGGTTTGGGGGAGCCTGGCTGCTCGGGACTCATGCCGCCCCCTAGTGGGGGATTGAGGCAGTGTCAGCTGTCACCTGGCCACTCCCTGAGCTCCCCTGAGACCCAAAGTCCCAAAGACCATCCCCCACCCCCGCCCCCATGCAGGCCATCTGCTGCTCGGACCACCTGCACTGTTGCCCCCAGGACACCGTGTGCGACCTAGTCCAGAGTAAGTGCCTCTCCCAGGAGAACGCTACGGACCTCCTCACCAAGCTGCCAGCACACACAGGTACCAGAGGCAGGCTACAGACCCCATTCCACCGGCTCTGTGTGCGGGAACTCTCCACCGAATTGTTCCAGGAACAGATGCGGGGGTGGGGGACTGAGGGCCACATGGAGGGGACAGGGCAGATACAGCCCCCTCTCCTCCACACTAGTCATTGCCTTTGGATCACTGCTGGGGTGGCCTAAGGATACTGTCCATTCTCAGCATCTGGCCCTAGCTGTGGAGCCGGCCCAGGGTTGGGCTCCCCAGGGCGCCCCATGGCCACTGCTGACCCGTCCTCCGTGCCTTTCTCACAGTGCAGGAGGTGAAGTGTGACATGGAGGTGAGCTGCCCAGACGGCTATACCTGCTGCCGCCTACAGTCGGGGGCCTGGGGCTGCTGCCCTTTTGCCCAGGTACCCAGGAGCGGTGGGTGGGCCGGACTGAGCAGAAAGTGGCAACCAGCGAGGCCCCTGGGCCCACTGTCCCCTGTCCATCCACCCTAGGCTGTGTGCTGTGAGGACCATGTACACTGCTGCCCGGCTGGGTTTACATGTGACACAGCGAAGGGCACCTGTGAACAGAAGGCCCGCCAGATGCCCTGGATGGTGCGGGCCCCAGCCCACCTTCGCCTGCCAAACCCCCAGGCCATGGAGAACGATGTCCCCTGTGATAACATCACTAGTTGTCCCTCCTCCAATACCTGCTGTCGACTCGCATCTGGGGAATGGGGCTGCTGTCCTGCCCCAGAGGTGCGTGGGTGCGGGGAGATCATGGGGGGGGGGGCGCGTGACAGTGTCTTGGCCTGGGCACGTGGTCAGACTCCTGTTGCTTTGCTCTTCTGTCCTCTGGCCCACAGGTGGCCCACCAGCTCAGTCAGGTTCATTCCCAGCTGGAGGAGCTGTGAGCGGGAGAGAGAGTCGGGATAGGCAGGGGCTCAGCTTTTCTGTCCCACATAGCAGCTTCCCAGACCATCCTGTGCTGCCCCCCCCCCCAGGCTGTCTGCTGCTCAGACCACGAGCACTGCTGCCCCCATGGCTACACGTGCTTGGCCCACGGGCAGTGTCAGAGGGGGGGCGAGACAGTGACCGGACTGGAGAAGACACCTGCCCGCCGGGCTTCCCCATCCCGCCACAGAGACATAGGCTGTGACCAGCACACCAGCTGCCCCGTGGGGCAGACCTGCTGCCCCAGCGTGAGTGGGGGCTGGGCCTGCTGCCAGTTGCCTCACGTGAGTGCCCGCCTGCCTCCCTGGACAGGGGAGCCGAGTCTCCCCCCCCAGCCCTGGGGGGAGGAGGAGAGAGGTGAATGCCACCCTGTCCCTCCCAGGCTGTGTGCTGTGAGGACCGCCAGCACTGCTGCCCCGCTGGGTACACGTGCAACGTGAAGGCCCGAACCTGCGAGAAGGAGGCCAACTCGGCCCACCTGGCCACCAGCCTGGCCCGTGGCCCTCGCGTGGGTGTGGGGAACGTGGAGTGTGGGGCAGGGCACTTTTGCCATGATAACCAGACCTGCTGCCGCAATAGCCAAGGGGGCTGGGCCTGCTGTCCCTATACCCAGGTGAGTGCCCCCACCCCAGGTTTGGTGGGTATCCATGGGAGCCAGGCCCTGCAGTGGCCCAACTCTGACTTCCCGCCCGCCCCCCGGCCATCCAGGGCATCTGTTGTGCTGATCAGCGTCACTGCTGCCCGGCTGGCTTCCGATGCAGGGCCAGGGGCACCAAGTGTCTGCAGAAGGAAAGCCTGCGCTGGGACATGCCGTTGAGGGACGCAGCCCCGAGACAGCTGCTGTGAGGCGAGACTAAGGACTGAAGACAGTCTGCAGCCCTCAGGACCCTGTTCGGAGGGTCCCCACTGCTCAGGCTTCCCCAGCACCTCTCCCCCACCAAATTCTCCTGGAGTCCCCATTCTGATCCCCCCCTCAATCATGGGAGGTGGGGCCTCAATCTAAGGCCTTCCCTGTCTCAAGGGGGGCTGTGGCGAAAGCCACATTACAAGCTGCCATCCCCTCCCCCAACTGCCGTGGACCCTGTGGCCAGGTGCTCTTCCCTATCCACAGGCGTGTGTGTGTGTGTGTGTGTGTGTGTGTGTGTGCTGCAGTAAAGTTTGTACACTTTCTTAACAGTGTCTGATTTGGCCACCCTGCCTGCCCCCGCCCCCCGAGCAAGGGCCCCCATCCAGTGTCCACATTCCCCAACCCCACAGAGAGGCACACGCGGAGTTAATCTCACCAGTTTTATATTTGCTGTTGCCCACAGCAATCCCATCACATGATCCCCTAGTCCCCAGAGCCGCCCCAGCCACCAGAGGTGGGCTAGTCAGCAAGCAGCACCCCCTCCCCTCCCGGGGGGGCGTCCCCAGAGAAGGCCCCCTCCCTTCCCAGCCCTCACACTAGCAGCTGAGGCCCAGTCGCCCCTCCTGCTTTCCCACAATAGATCTTTCTATGTACAGCCGCGTTTATAGAGGCACTGCTTCCCCCCACCCCCAGCCCTCCTTCCCCAGCCCCTCCCAATGGGGGTCTGGACCCCTCCCACCTCCCTCTCGGAGGCCGACACGGGTCCCTCACGGGTCCCTCCCGAGACATTACCCAGCACATAACACCGGACAGCTCCGCAGGCCCCTGGGCCCCTCTCCAGGCGGGGGGTGGGGGGGCTGAGGGGTAAGGGCGCTGGCCCCCGCGACTCCCCGGGGCGCGCCCACCCTGGGGGCGGGGGCCGACGGGGAGGGGACGGTGCCAGGCCGGGCGGGGGCGCTACTTGACGTTGAACACCATAAGCGGCCGCTCCTCCCGCCGCTGCCACGGGCTCTTCTTGTCGCCCGTCTCGTCGCCCACCTCCGCCCCCAGCTCGTCCTCCGGGCTGGTGAGCGAGTCGCGCCGCAGCTCGCTAGCGCTGCTGCGGGAACTGTCCCCGCGGCTGCGGCCCCGACCCCGGGGTACCGTGGCCGCCCGGCCCTCGGGCGCCGCCACTTCGTCCAGCAGCGGCGTCAGCGAGTTGTCCTCGGGGGAGCAGAGGCCCGTTCGGCTCTCGCTGCTGCTCGGCTCCGTGTCCTCGCTGAGCGCCAGGCGTGGGGGCGCAGGCGGCGGGGGCGGCGGGGGTGGCGGCGGGGCGGCCGGCGGGGCGCGCTCCCGCTCCTCGCGCAGGGGCCGCCGGCGCGCGGGCCGCGCCTCGTGCACGTCGACGCCCGAGTCCAGGCTGGCGTCGGTGCTGCGGCCGCCCCCGCCCGCCTGCAGGTCGATGTAGGAGTGGCGCACTTGCGAGTTGGAGCGCCCGTCCAGGGACACGAACCAGGCGCGCGGGTGAGGCTTCACGCCCAGTTCGAGCAGCTTCTTCTCGGTCAGCGCCTGCAGCTCCCCGTTGAGCTGCGCCATGGTAGACTCATTGAACAGCACCGGGATGGTGACCGAGCCGCTGACCGGCGCCGAGCGCCCGCCCCCCCAGCCCTCGCCGCCGCCGGCGCCGCCCTCGCCTCCCGCGCCCGAGTGGCCCTGCATCAGCGGGCGCTGGGGGTCGGCCGGGGGGAAAGGGCGCGCGGGGCCGGGGCCCGTGCTCTCGGGCGGGGCTGGCTCGTCGCCCGCTCCCGCGGCGCCCGCCTCGCCGCCGAGGCGCACGTAGTGCGCGGGGATCACCAGGGTGGGCATGACGTTGCGGTAGACACTGTCCTTGAGGTGGTCGATGGAGCCGCAGAAGATGAGCTGCCCGGCCTGGCTGAGCGACGGCGGCCGCGCCAGCTGGTCCACTGACTGCGACAGCAGGAAGTCGGGGGGTTTGCTCTCGGCCGCCCCCTTGTGGCCCAGGTAGTGCTCGAAGGGCGGCGGCGGCGAGGGAGGCTCCTGCAGGAAGGCCGGGGTCGCCGAGGCCCCCCGCCGGTACTCCTCCAGGCCTGGCTCCAGCCCGCCGGGACCCTCGACGGAGCGGGCGCCCTTGAGACCCGCGCCCTCGCCCCCGCGGGCGCCCCCAGGCTCGGCGGCCGGACGGCTGGCCGAGCGCGGCTTGGCGCGGAAGAAGTCGTCCCGGGAGGCGGCCAAGTCCCGGGAGCTGGAGAAGGCGGAGTGCAGGGGGCCTGGGGGCGGGGCCTCAGGGTCCCCCGACGGGGCGGGCTCCAAGGGTCCCCCACATATGAGGTGGAGCTGGGACATCGAGGTGGCCTGGTCTCGTTTGTTACCGTCAGCGGGCCCGGACAGCTGCAGCTTGCGGTGCTGTTGCCTCGGCTTCAGGCAGCGCCTCCTGGAAGGTGTTGGGGGGGCGGGGGGGGGGAAGCGACCGGGACCTCAGGAAAGCGTGGGGGGGCCTGAGCAGCTCCCTAACCCCGCAGTGGCAAGATGAGGAATGGAAGTTGTTTGGAGGGGTGGGGAGAATGCCTGGGATCGGAAGAAATGTTGGGGAGAGGTCTGTGGAAAGAGCTTGAGCGTCTGTGGGAGGGCCAGCCAGCAGCTGAGCCCGTTTGGGTCCCCCTGAGGGGAGCTGCACTCCTTCGCTCGTAGGAGGAGCTCTGAGAACCTGGGAGGAGCACGTCCAGCCTGGGGTCCCCTGGAGGGGCCTGGCCCGTAGGTCCTGCCTCCTCTCCCCCCACTACTCGTCAGCCACCAGTCTCGCGGGTGCATTTGCTGCCCTTTCCTGTCAGTGCCTTGAAGACCGGAATTGTACTTTATGCTTCTTTGGGGCCGGAGCGCCCAGCCCCGCGGCGGGCAGAGGGCAGGCCTCAGTCTGCAGGGGATGAGCGAGGTTGGCCGAGTGGGAGGCACTCACCGGCAGTAATAGATGAGCAGGCACAACAGAATGAGCACGAGCAGGGCCAGGGCTGCCAGGATGGTGAGCAGGAAGATGGTGTGGTAGGTGCCAATGTCCTGGATGCCCGATGTGATGGTGACCAGTCCTGTGCCAGGCAAGGGCTTAGCTTTCCAAGCGTCGCTGCCCTTCCTGCCTTTCAGGAGTCCACACTCCCAGCCTCCCCTTCCCCCAATGCTCCCCGTCGCGGGCTGTCCCCCTGTCTCTCACCAGCGGTGGGGGAAGCCATGGCAGCTGCCCAGTACCCCAGCTGGGGGCAGACGAAGGTCCAGTAGAGCTGCCGGCCTTCCTTTCGGATCACACCAGTGCCGTTGCGTACCCACAGCCCTGGGAGAGGCAGGAGTTTCATGAAACCCAATTAACCCTCCACTCCCCATCTAAGACCCACCTGCTTTCCCCAAACTCCAGCAGCTGCAGCCGCTTGAAGCACTCACCACTCTTGGGGTCGAACCTCCAGGCTGGAATGCTGGTGCCTGCAGTGAGGGCACGAGGCTCTGAGGGCACAGGCAGGGACAGGTGAATGGGGCCTGAGAGTGGCACTTCTGTCCCATTACCTGTCAGCAGGTGCACGCTCACGGCAGCCAGGGGTATCAGCTCTAGCCAGGAGCCATTGCCTGGGGGGGAAGGAGACACGGGCTGAGGGCTAAATCCTGGTGTTGGCGCGGGGGACGTCCCTTCCATGCTGGACCCCCAGCGTACCTGAGCCGGAGGCCTCAGTGCCCAGGAAGGTAGGGAAAGCACGCATTTCCTGCTGGGTGCTGGCAGGTGTGAGCGAGGCCCAGAGCTGGCTGTAGGTGGAACTGACGGGCAGGCGAGCGGCGCGGCGCTGGAACTGCACCCAGGGCTGGGAGCGGGCGCCTGGATGGAGAGGGGGGCTGCTGTGGCTTGGCCGGGGACAGGCTTCCCCAGGGACCAGAGCAGAAGGCAGGTATTTGAGGAGAAGGGAGCCATTGGGTCAGGCCACTTGGGAAGGTCAGGGAGGGTGGTGACTTGGGGAAAGAACTGCATTCATAGAATGTTAACGTGGAAAGGACTTGGACCTGAAATCTGGTCCTGGCTGTGCGACCCTGAGCAAGTTCCCTGCTCTCTCTGAAACACTGTTTCCTTATTAACCTATAAAACGATGAGGTTCGGGTCCTCAAACTATTACTGTTGCCTACCGTGTGGCGGGCACTGTGTTAGGTGTTGGAGATACAAAGGTGAATAAGACACAGTCCACAGTTCCCTGCCTTCAGGTTCACAGTCTTGTGCAGGGCTGTCCATTTTGGTACCCATTAGAACTTTCTGCTGTGTTGGATGGAAATGTTCTCTCTCTCTGCTGCCCATTACAGTACCCACTATGCACCTGTGGCTGTTAAGCACTTGAAAGGTGGCTAGTGTGACTCAGAAACTGGATTTATTTTTGATTTTTCAAAACTTAACGAACTTGGGCACCTGGGTGGCTCAGTCGTTAAGCGTCTGCCTTCGGCTCAGGTCATGGTCTCAGGGTCCTGGGATCGAGTCCCGCATCGGGCTCCCTGCTCTGCGGGAAGCCTGCTTCTCCCTCTCCCGCTCCCCCTGCTTGTGTTCCTGCTCTCACTGTGTCTCTCTCTGTCAAATGAATAAATAAAAAAATCTTAAAAAAAAAAAAATAACGAACTTTTATGTAAGTGGCCACATGTTGCTAGTGGTTACTGCATGACACAGCTTAGGCTGTGTGTGTGTCTGTCTGTCTTGGGGTGGAGGGCGCTTATAAACAGAATTCCAATACAGTATGGTAGTAGCTAACATTTATTAAGCTGGACACTATTCTAAGGCTTCCTGTGTTAACCCCTGTAATTAGTACAACAGCCCCTGAACTAGGTGTTTTCATTATCAATCCTGTTGCACACACGAAGAAATGGAGTCTGGAGTTTAGTGACTTGCCCAAGGGCTCAATCCTGGAGCCCGACCAAAGCGCAGGAAGTGTGGTGCCAGCCCAACTTCTAAACCCCTTTCCATCCTACTTTGCTATTAAAAAAGCAGGGA